TTCGGGTCGGCGGGCCGGTGCTTGGTGTTGGGATGCTGCCTGAACGTCTGCAGCCGAGCTGAAGTTCACGACTAGCCTCGGAACGCCCCAACTCGTCGAGACCACAGCTGCTGCTGGTGCGGATGCTGATGCAGGTCGCGGTGGAAGCGGCACCTGTGGTTGCTGAGTCTGCTGAGTACTATATGTAATACCAGGAATGACAAGCCTAGGAACGCGTGACATAGTATGTAAAATTGGAGCAGAAGGCTGAGTATGTTGCACGTATGTAAGTGGTGATGTTATAGAGTACCAAGTTTGTGATGTTTTATGACGAGCTGATTGCGATGCCGCTTTCTACAACGCTATGCTAACGCGTGCTGCCTCTAGATTGTGTCGTACTGCTAACTCTCTACACTAATCTAAGCGAACGCGCTGCATTTGCTATCGCTCCCTGATGCACGCGAGTGTCTTTCATCGCTCTCATTCGAGGCTTACAGCCTGGATTAACAAAAAGAAAGGGCACATAATGCCGTAAATATTACATGGTAGGCCCGCAGCCTTGTAGGGTCTGATATACGTCCAATGGCCTGTTGCCGTAAATCTCGCTCGCTTGTAGGTGTCATAGCCCAAATTAGATTTAATCGCGATGTGGCACGCGGCCAACCAAGATCGTGCGGGTAACGGCGACCCTCGTGTAATGATGCAGCCTATTAGCGCTTCATTCGGTCGGGGCGAGTTGTGGATAGGATGATATAGAATGAGGTCCGCCAATCGCAATATCCGCAATTAAGGATGGGCTGCGTGTCTAACTACACCGCTCTACCTAACGCCTACGCATATCGCATGCCGCGTGTCCGGACCCTAGTTGGCGTCATTCACATTGGTCCCCGGCCACGGCCACGGCCGGCCGGCATCATAGGCCCCATGGGCGGGGGCTGGTGGTACTGCTGCTGACCACCAAACTGCGGCTGGCCACTGAACTGTTGGTGGCCGCTAAAGTTGGGGTATGCCCCGCCGCCTTGGTAGGGGTGAAAGCGCTGGGCCCCGTATCCACCCCGGCTGCGGCTGTTGCCACGGCCGCCAAAGTTCTGCACCTCCTGCAGCGGGTTAGTCCCCATCCGGTCCTTAACGTCCCGGACAGCGCGCCGGAAGCGATCCTCACCACAGTCGTAGAGTCGGTCTGTATCCGCCTTGACTTCTGCCGTCGGACTGACGGCTTGATGTCGGTTGTTGTTGAAGTACTGCTGCATTACTTCTAGATGATACTGGTGGCACCGACCACCAGCGTCGCAGGACGCGTAGAGCAAGTCCATGATGAAGATGCTTTGTTGGAGGATGTCCACGACAGGCCCAACGTCCGCGACTGTAGCCTGAATGACTTTTAGCGCTGAATGTGCTGAGTAGACTTTGGATCCGATGTCCCGAATCCATGCCGCCATGAACTTGACCGCCTTCAGGCACGACGCCTCCCGATTCTGCTCTAGGTCTGTATATCTTCTCGACAGGGCCTCCTCCCTGCCCGCGTTAATATTTGTAAAGACGGCATTGAAGTTCTGATGTTGTATCAGCTGCTCTACTACCTGCGCTGGCACGCCTTGAGCTGCCGCAGGGGGCGGAATGACTACATTGTTATGGTTGTTTTGAATGTTGTTGTTTGGAATGTTAGCAGGCAAGATTTGATCAGCCATTGCGTTGGTTACGCGAAGTGTTGTGGAGAAATTAAAAGGTTTATAATGATAGCATGAACCTAAGGTCACGAAACGGCGAATAGCCAAAACAGAACGCAGTTCAGTATAATATCCATACTGAAAACAGTACGACAGTACAACGAGTAACATCTTCGTCCAAGAACCCGCCTTCTCGCAACGAGAAGTCTACGCCCTGCTGCAGATCTATAGAGCTAAAGTAAGCAGACCCGCAAAGCTTATCGAGCAAATCGTCTACACGCGGAAGAGGGTACCGATTCTTAGTGGTCATGGAATTCAATCCACGGTAATCTATGCACATGCGTAGGGAACCGTCCTTCTTACCCACAAACAAGATCGGGGCAGAGAAGGGAGACGTACTTGGACGAATCATGCCTTTAGCAAGCAGCTCAGTAACCTGCCGTTTGACCTCATCAAGCTCAAGAGGGCTAAGTCGGTACATAGGGCGTGCGACGGGTTGGGCATCAGGCACCAACGGAATTGTGTGATCCACCGGACGAACTGGAGGAACACCCGGGATCTCCTGGACAACATCAGCGTATTCCTCAAGCAGTGCGGAAACTTCAGGGTCTTGAGTGGGAGGAATCACAGAAGTGGCGTTAAGGCTAATCGAAGGACGAACCAGCAAAGCATGTGCCCCCTTGCGAATAAGACGCACCGCAGCCTTACGACCAATAGACTCAGGGGTGGCGTGCACACACATGGCCGCAGCCGCAAAATTAACAAGGGGTGCCGACGAGGCAGCACCACTGTCACCTGAATCGTCAGAAGACGCACGCCAAGGAATTGAGTACCGAACAGTACCCTTTGACAAACGCAAAATATTGTTCTGAAAATCCAGGGATGCAGAGTGCTTACACAAAGTATCAGATCCCAGAATAAAAGGAGCAGCATCAGTCAAGGACGGCCAAATGTATGGCGAGACGGTTAGGTACAAAGACCCGGCTGCCACACGAAACGACACCTGACCCACGATAGCTTGCCTACCTCCATCAGCGAGTGAAACATGGGACCAGTCCGAAGAGCGGACCGGGAGGTGTAGCCGTTGGACAAGGGACTCACTAATAAAGTCGTGAGTAGCGCCTGTGTCCACCAATGCCGAAAACGTTCGGCCACCAGTCCGCAGAGACACCAGAGGCAAAGCAACTCGTGTGTCCACAGAACCGGAGGCAACTGCGCAAAGAGAGGAAGCAAAGGGCTCCCAGGCAACAGAGAGACAAGGTGAAGGTCCATCGTACCACAACTCAGCAGGATACGGAATACCAGGAAGCTCTACTGTTTCACCCTCAAGCGAAAGGCTGTTGAACGGACTTCACAGGAAACGTAAGTACTCGGTGCATACCTGCTAGCAGCGTTGAAGCCCGCCGGGCGACATGCGAAGGTAGCAAAATGCCGGCCGCGGTATCAGGACGGCGGTGCTTGCATGCAAGGTAGTGCCGAAGCGAAACGCGCAATTGAGTGAGGGATGCAGGGAAAAAAAGCACAGTATGACCACCAACATCGACCGAGCAGAGAGAGCTACCGCGAGGAACCGTTATGTTACATTCCGAGTCAAAGCCCGGTTTGACACCAACGGCGTCAAAAGAAAAACGGTGTCCAACGGCACTCTCAAACTCTGCCAACGTAGCGGGTCTAACCATGCGGACCAAAGAATGAATCCCCGCAAAAGGAAACTCAGGGTAATATCCCTCAGTACCACCCTGAGCAAATTCCTAGTACAGCCCAGCTTCACACAACCTCTTAAGAGCGGGACAGTCGTCGTAGAGGTGGTCAGGACTAACCACCTCGCAACAAAAACAGATGGTCTTACCGCCCGCACGCTGCCGGAGAATGCCCACCTCCCCGTGCGTCAACCTACGACCGAACTGGTTTACCCACTTGGTCAACTCGCAAGCTTTTGCCAACGGAACGACGGGCTCTCCACCGGCGGATACATCAGGGTGGTCAGTGCCGCGAACCCTGTCACCGCGCCCGCCATGCGGACCCGTTCTGCCCCCGTGACTACTTCGCCCAGGAATGCTTCCGTGTCCCGGCTGCCGGGAGGTCCCCGCAACAGCCGCAGCTAGACGAGGGCCGGAGTCCACGCGCGCCCTCTTGAACGGGGGCTGGTCTCCGTCGAATTTCTGCAAAGCAACAGAATTCGAACAAAGAGCAGAACGAACTTTTTGTTCAGACAGGGTGTGCAGTTCCTGGCCCAAGGCATGCTGTACCAGGGCGTCGTGAGAGGCAAACGACTTGCCATAGACGTCTGTGGCGCAATGGGGCTGCAGGGAAGAAGAAACGGCCTTTGAAAAACCAAAACATACGCTCACTAGGAGTGATCGTGGGTATGTCTTGGAAAACGGCCTCAAGACGCGAAAGGTAAGCTGGTACACTTTCGCCAGCACGCATCACAAAAGATTTGTCAGAAAGCCTATGTCGTGCTTCTTGTTCAACAGAGATAACCTGAGGAGCAAAACGCGTGCGCAGGTTATCCAGAACAAGCTGAGCAGTAAGCTCACGCTGCGATAGAGACCACTCGTCATACCACGTTTTTGCAACGCCACGGAGCGCTTGCGACAAAAACAGGCAGCATGACCGATGGTCCCTACCCCAGGGCACGATTTCGAAAAACAAAGACGTGTCACGAATAAACGCCTTTACACGGGCAGCAGTCTGCTTCGCATCAAGCTTGGTATCTAGCTGCAAAACAGGAGTCGGTAAACTAACCCGAGGGAGGTCGGCAGGAGAAATTGGCCGAACCGGAGGTAAAGGCTCTGGCTCGGCTGTGACTACCACAGCCTCAGCAGCAGCAGCCGCTTCCACCGCTAACGCACGCGCAGCCGCAGCACGGTGGTCCACATCTGTCGTCGGGGTTTCTGGTATCACCGTTGGAACATCCGGACGATTCATGGGAGTGTTAAGCGGGTGACGCAGAGCAAAAGGGGCCAAAGAAGGCAAGGAGTGGGGATGTTCATCACCAGTAGGGCCAAGTGGCCTCAACCGAACATTCTCGGCAGCCCCAGTGGGCATCTGCAACAAAGGTGCTGCGGCAAAAGTTGAGAATGGGGGAACCGAACGTCTCGATACCACTTGTTGTATCCACTTCCACTGTTTAGGTGGTAGTGAAAACTACCGATTGGCTGTACGGTCCGAGGATATAGTCGTCAACGCGAATTATCAACAATCGGTGCAATCGTAACCCAAGTGGGTCTACCAGTGACAAGTGTCACGATTATAGCAAGAGCGCTATAACCCAGTATCACGCGTGATAAAGACAGGCAAGTGCCCGATTAGAGATGGGCCAGCGCCCAATTAGAGATAGGCCAGTGCCCAATGGTTAACCAAGTAAGAGTGAAGATATTGCCCAGCGGTGAAGTGCCAGAGAATTGGGGAAAAGTCCGAGGGTTAATATGCAAGTGTGCCACAACATGCAACCGCCACCTCCTGTACAGCTTTCCTCCCCCCTACTACAACTGTTGAGCCCGGTGCTTGCAACCTTTTGCCCAAATCTTACTACTTACACCTGCCCTCACCTTGCATTTCGCAGGACTCCAACTACCTTGACCACCTCACCCGTTCACTTACCGTTGAGTTCCTGGTCTTCAGCTATCATCACAGAGTGCTGGGTTACGTCAAGATGTCCTTTCTGTGGCGTGCGTATGGCGGTATAGAGCTGTCGTTCACTTTCACGGGCTTGCCGGCGCTGACATACCTAGGGAGGTCGGACGCCACTTCATCCTCCTCCTCAATGTCATCATCATCATCATCATCATCATCATCATCATCATCATCATCATCATCATCATCATCATCATCATCATCATCATCATCATCATCATCATCATCATCATCATCATCATCATCATCCTCGAACAGCATAGTGGCGGAGGTATTGGAACCGGTGGCTGGACATGACTTGGCGGCATTGTGGGTGCTGACGATGGTGTTTGTGGTGGTTGTGGCGATGCAAACCGCAAGGGCGGCAGCAGCATGGCGCAGCAGTGATCTCAACTCGCAACAGGTGTGTCACCATGGCGGGGTGGGTGCAACATGGCTTCCTTGGTGGGCTCAGACGACTTCGATCGATATAGCAGCAACCTAATGAAAGTATCTCATACCTGTGTGGGGCGGACTGGAGCTTTAGTTGGGTGGGGCTTACACCGAATCCTCGAGACAACAACGTAATGTAACGTAGGGAGGGGAAGTACAGGGGCAGACGGTGTGGCGCTTAGGAGTAGAGTTTTGCAGAATGGGAGTGAGCGCCGCCAGGTGGACCCATCCCAACACACGCCCACTGAACACGCCTTCAGTTTAACAAGCCATCCCAAAGGCAGCGCACACCAAAGGCAGCGCACACCAGCTCTCAAATGATGTAAAGTCTTTGACCCACGAAACACAGGCAAGTCCGGGCCTAAAAGCCCTGAACACAAAACGAGCAAAAAGCAGATGATGGCTTTAAGGTACTACCAGGCCACATCAAAGGAAACATTTTTGTGCCAAATCGTCTGAATCAGCAAACCCCTAGGAGCTCACAATCAGCTAGCCAAAACTCGGCTCATTTAAGCGCCCGCCGCTCCAATTCTCATGTGAACAGAAATGGCACCGCTTCAGCAACCTCGTCGTGGATCTGATGGTCTGTGTGATGCTGGTGACGGCGTGCGCTGTATATACGGCATTCATGGTACAGAAGGCTGCCGTATTCTCAGCGCGTCAGCACTACCGGGTCTACGACGACATAGAGGGCGCCCGGGCACGCTGGCTACTGCCGCTCAAAACAAATCCGGATGTGCTACAGCCCAGCCAGAGCGCAGAGCTCAAGGTACGTGTAGTAGCTGTCGTAGACAGTACGGCACAAACCAGTTATACATAATACGCTAGAGCATGTTCCCAGCATCTCGAGAGGTTTTTTCAGCGGCAAAGCTACTACAGTGCGGAAGCGGGTGCTAATACGTTGTGCTGGAGCAAAGCGGTACACGCTACAGGGTACGGATGCCTGACTACTCGACCGTTGGCTCTCAATGGTAACAGCCTCTGTCAACCGATTTCCCTTCATTTCGTTATGCTGGCCCACACGTCTTTGCCTTTTGCTTCCTTCCCACCCGCATCACACGCTGTCCTGCACTGCGCTATGACCTCTTGTTGCTTCAGGTGTCCCTGAACTCGTTGGGGCTGTCACTGCCCTCGAGTTCCAGGACCCCGGGCAGGTACCTGCTGCCAGATGACCCCGCAGGGACTGCAGACTGGGAGGCACTGGCGGAGGTCCTTGTGAACGCGGACGGACTATCCCGCATGTGGACAATTTATGGCATGATCCAGGCAATGACGTTGGTGCTGCTATTCGGCAGGTAGGGGTGTGTGTGTGTGTGTGTGTGCGTGTGTGTGTGTGTGTGTGTGTGTGTGTGTGTGTGTGTGTGTGTGTGTGTGTGTGTGTGTGTTACCCGGGTGCGTGACAAGCAAAAAGGGTAAGCGACTCTGTGTGTCTCAGGAGGAAAGGTTTACGTTGCCAAGTAAGGGTGAATAAGGGAGCTGCAGCGCCACACAGGAAGGAGGCACAGCTAGATGGCGCTGATGTATCCATCCGCCGGGTTGTCGCACTTGGATTTGATTTGTTTTTTTTATTTTTTCCGTCTCCGTGTGTGGTGAAGTGTCTGGTAATTTTCCGTCGTTTTTTTAACATCCCAACCTTGTCTCCTACTTCCTTCTCCTACATACTTGACCAGGCTTCTGTCCACACTGGCTTTTCAAGGTCGCGTCGGCATCATGGTACGAACGCTATTCAACGCTGTACCTGCCGTACTACACTTGGTGATCATACTGCTGCTCATTGCCGTCATGTTTTCGGTCATGGAAGTGTGTCAGCTTGGTATCCACGTCGGGGAAATGAGCAACCTGGATGGCGCCCTGAGCGACACTCTTGGGCTCCTGGTGGGCCGGTCCATCCTGCGTAACCATACTACCATCGTGCCCCGGAATATGGAGTTCACAACGGTGCAGGTTGGTGCAGGGTTTTGGTGTAATATTGGGTCATGGGATGTGTTGCTGATTCTTAGGGGCTTGTGTGGCGGACGTGGTGGGATAGTACCCAATTGGGTTGCAAGGCCGGCAGCTTCTCGGAATCTGTTGATCCGTACACATGCATGCCCGCCATATAGTCCATATACACGCCGGCCTATCTTTTACCCCGAACCCGTCCTGCTAGGCAGGCCCCGGGCTACAGCATGTGCGTAGGGTCACGGGCTTTGGGGATATCATCAGGTGCTTATATGTGTTTAATAACCTGCTGATATTCAAAGGAATGCCGCCGTTTCATGCTGGCTGGCGGGCCACCGTGTGACTGGTTTCAGTGTGGCTGGCTTGTGGGTAATCTTTACGGTGTCTGTTTCTTGTGTCGGCCAGCCCGTTCCTTGTCCTCCTATTCCCCCATGCCGTTCCTTCTCGGCTCATTCCGTTTTTCTTCGTCTTGGCTTTCACCTTTGCCCTGCATCATATCGGCAGCATGTTCCTCAGTTTGTTAATGTGGCTGCAAGTGTTAAAAATTTATGAAAACATTGACTGCTGTAGCGTGTTGCGCGGGAGTACTGTGGCTTGCGTTGCATGTGTTAGTTGGACTTGTGCGAGAATGAGGATTCCAAACTTATGCTCACAATGCGCCCTGCCTTGCCCAACTGCCCTCTTTTCCTGTCCGCCCAACGACTCTGGCCATGCTCCCCTTCGGATGGCTGAACCTGGCGGCTTGGCGTCTATGGTAAACGGTACGGCAATCCGCTTTAGTACTTGGGCATTTCTTTGGTAATTGTGTCTCAAGTGTTGCTTGTGTCCCTTGTGCTTGTCAGCTTTTTCTATACCCTACTGGCCTTCACCTTCGGAAAACTCAGAAACCATTGGAAGTTTTTGTATGGTACAACAATTTGGGAGGACATCTGCCTTGTCGTACTGCCGGACGCGGCCTCTGCCATGCACCGCTGGTCACGCAAGCTGTTGCGTGGACATACTTATCGCAACGGCCAACCACCATTAACTAATCGGCAGCTTCATCGTGTAGTACGAGACGGAGCCCTGGCTGGTGTCGATGTACAGCCGCAAAAATGGAAACCTATTCGCGTCGTACTCTTTCCGTCGCCAACAGGCGGTAAAGCTTACCTGGACCTTGAGGGGGTACGACAGATGCTGGAGACTGCTGCACGACGGGCGACTGCAGACGATCCCACAGCTGTCACGAGTAGCCGTATTGCAGCCGCCATTGCTGAAGCCACTGAAAGTGGAGCCGCCACAACTTGGGCTGAGTCGCCAGATCCCGGCAGCGATAGCGCCGCTGCCGCCGGCATCACTACCAGCCGTGCTGGCGGGGAGGGGAACACTGCCAGGAATGGGCAGAAAAGTGAAAGGGGAGGTACCGGTCCCAGTTTTGGCAGCACCGCTGGTGGCAGCAACGCCAACTCCGATTGCAATGACTCCCGTGGCCGCGGTTGCTGGGGCGTGTTGAAGGCTGACAAGTATGGCTGCTGGCCTAACCGTGGTAGTGGCGGCAGTGGCACTGGAAATGGAGGATGTTGGAGTGCCGGAAGCAGTGGTGATGCAGAGGAGGCTGCGTGTTGGGAGGACCGACAAGGGGGAGATCAACCGAATAGATCCGGGGTCCAGACCCGTGGCCAAGGCAAGAGCGGGAGTGAAAGCCAGAACCTGAGCCACACGCACCTCCACGGCCAAAGGCGACATGGCATGTGGCATACTGCCCAAGGTATTGCCTCTGCCCTTCCCTCCTCCAGCGCATCCGCTTCCAGGTCCTCCCTCAGGCGGCTTGAGCTGAACCAACTGCTCATATCTTTTAGCTCACATCGTCTCAACCGGCCACAGGTGCGAAAGCTGTCCCTTCTGGAAAAGAGCTCCTAGGAACTAATAGCATGTTGTTGTTGTTGTTGTTACAGAGTGGGAGGCGTCTGGGCCACTTGATCACATTATCTTAATAGAACGTGACGTGTTAACCAGGCCGGGGCGACTACAAGGCCTTAGATAAGTGCACGAGGAATCGGCTGCACGGGTCAGTACAAAACGCCTGATATTGTCCTTAATGGCAAAGGACTTTGGTTTGCTGGTCGCCCGTGTCCCCTTCGCTGCCTCTGACAGTCCCCTGGATGATCAAGACCTAGGAATAACTTGACCCTCAACATACCGTGCAGGTCTCGAATAACGATTGGATGCTGGGGGACGAGCAACTGAACAATTTGTGTGGATTGATAGCGCAACGTATCTTGGATTACCAAGGACATCGGCGCTTTGAGTACCTGGGACACTCGAGGTTTGGATGGAAAGGGGGACGGGAGTTCGCCTGTTCCAAGTACCGGCCTGTACCCATCGGGAAACCCGTCGTCATGACGCCGGTGGTGAGATTCAATCCCACGCTGGATACCGATGCCAACACCAGTGGCCGTGTCACCAGTGTCAGCAGCAATGTGGCGAGCGGGGGAACCAGGTCACGCATTGTGCAGCGGCGTGTGCTTTGGAGTAGTGGACCCTCAGCTCCGCTTGGCCAGTTGGTGGGCCAGCGGTACAGTCTTACCGCGGTGAGTCGTCTGGTAAGCTACCAGACAGGCTTGGGGCAACGATCCGGTTTGAGCCAAGTGGATCGAGGCCAGCGGCTCAGTCAGTCGGCAGGGAAACGACAATCACATTGGCCCCAGGGACAGTTCAGGCAGCTCAGCAACTTGACAGGTCAGCAGAGTGGCTGTGCGAGTCAAACAGGAACCAGCCAAATCCACCGCATGAGCACTGGTGCAGAGCAGTGTCTGCACAATGCTTGTGATTCCACCAGCGACAAGCTGCTGGGTCTTAGCAGCGGTTGCGGCAGCAGCGGCAGGGTCCTTATCCGGCAAGGAGGTGGCGGCGATGGTTCAGAAGCGGACTTCAGTGAGGCCCACTCCACCATCACTAATGATGTGGCTGCAAGCATTGTTATCAGCAACGGCAGTGGCATAGGTACAGGAGCTGGTGGTACCGCTACTACAACGATGATGGAAGAGGATGATGTGTCTGAATTCGCCATTTATGCAGCATTGTGGGAGTCGATACGCGCCATGGAGTACTGGCAGGCTGGTGTGGTTCGCTGGCAAAGCCATGTGTGGCTACAGCAGCAGCAGATGCAACAGGTGCATGATAAAGTTCTGTCAATGCTTACCTGCAGTACTGCTGATGGTGCCGGCAAGCTGCCGTGTATGGTGCCGTTACTGGGAGCCCCGTCATCATCACGTGGGTCATCATCACTGAGGGCATCTACCTGCCTTGGTTCTGAAGTGTTGATACGAGACACGAATCCTAGCGCCAGCAAACGTAGCGGTGGCACTAACGATGCTGGTAGCAGAACATTTCAGCAGGTTCCGCTCGGCTTACCACAACTTACCAACGAAATGCCCCCTCCTCTTGCTACACCTGGTGATGCTGCACCCGACAACGATCGCGGCGTGGCCATGGTGGAAACTGACCCATGGGTTGGTGCTGGGCCAGTCATGCCTGAGCAACGATTGTCCATGCCACAACCGTTGAATACGCATGAGGTGAATACCAGCAGCAAACTGCCGAAATTTCGCACCACTTCAAGTAACAGAGGCAATGACGCCTCCACTACTGATTTTGCCACAGAGCCTATCGCAGAACCTGGGGTCAGCAAATTAAGTAGTGCAGAGGTCCTGCCAGCAGGCGGCATTACAGAGACTCTGCCAGCAGGCAGCATCACTACGGCAGGCACTACTGCTGTAACCGAGGCCCCGCCAGCAGGTGGCATCGCTGAGGCCCCGCCAGCAGGTGGCGTCGCTGAGGCCCCGCCAGCAGGTGGCGTCGCTGAGGCCCCGCCAGCAGGCAGTGGGGCTGTCACCACAACAGCGATAGTGCCACAATACACGCAGATGCTTTCTCAGCGGGTTGGGATGGCTGGGATGCAGCCACTGGTGACAGGCAACAAACCACTGGTGCGACCACCACTGATGGCCCCATTAATTGGGTACACACCACCGCAGGAGGTAAGACCAGTAAACTCCACCTGGCCACAGCAAGGGCAGCAGCAGCCACAGGAGGACGACCAGCAGTCGCAACATGGAACTGAAGGTCTGCCATCAACACCAAGCCGTCAAAGCTCTGGTACTTGGATGCTATTGCCGCCACCAACACAGGCAGGGTTGCTTGGAGTTCGACTGCCACCACTGCATCCTGACCCATCATTGCCACTTTTACAGCCTCAACCAAGCTTAATGGCGCGACCCAGTTTCACATCCAGGCTGCCACAGCGATCCCGCATGGGTGAATGGTCTATGGCAGCACCACCACCATCTCGTACTGTTAGTTGGGGCCACCAGCCGCTCTCAACATCATCTGGACAGCCCAACACAACATCGCAACTATCTTTACGGCAGCAACAGTCGCTGCATGCACCACGGGGGAAGAGATGGGCCCTACCATGGCCGGGGCAGCCAGCTGGAGGCAATTGGGTGCGGCCGACGTCACCCTCAGCGGCACCGATGCAGATGTCGGGATTTGCTAAGCATGGCAGCTTACTTTACCGGTCAGAGCCGACACAGCAACAGGCATCCGATCGGCCGGACACACTGGCGCCACTATTAGGGTCTACATTGTCGCTGAAGAGCAGCCGAACATTAGCACTTGAACTGCCGCTGCCGCCATGGATTTCGAACACAGTAATGCCGCCGCCCATAGACCAGGACAGCTGGCAGCAATTACATGCACTATCACCATCGAATAGCTTCAAGGGAGATTGGTTGGTGCTACCGCCGCCCCCTTCAGAATCACACCTGCGCGATGCCGCGGTGCTGGAGGCGACGGGGGCAGCAGCAGCTGCGGCGGCAGAGGTGGCGGCAGCTGCTGCGGCATCACCATTATCAAAGAAGTACCCGTCCAGGGCAGATTCCATGCGAATCGTTGCCAAGGCATTCGCCGATGTTGCCAAGGCCTATGCCGATGCCGGCACTGCCGACGACTCAGCTGACACCACCCACATCACCAATGGTGCCAACATCGGAACACTTGGCACATGCCCTAGGTTACTCTACCCCGATCCCCAGCCGCCGTCCTTGGTCCTTCCCAACGAGTACCCTGTACCGGGATTGTAGCCGACAATGCTGGTGAATGAGAAAAGCATGAAGTGATAGCGTTATATATGTTAACATTTTGATTCCATCAAATGAGAGAGGCTCTGTGGCCACAGTCGGTCAATTCATGGCCATGCAGATGAACCCATTGGCCTAGGTCTCATCATATCAACATCATCAGTGATCCTTTCACTTGGAAGTATGACATTTTGGGTCGCAGCATATTTGTGGAATTGATATCCTGTTGCTAAGATATTAACTTTTATTGTGTGAGGGTGAGAATGGTGCATTACACTGATGTGTATTGTGTTTCTGAAGGTGATGTGCAGCAGTTACGGCTGTGGGCTGCTGGTCTGTGTAACACAGCAAAGGCATAACCCGGGATGCTCAGATAGGCTTTTACGTCGTTACATTGCCCCCCACTTAGCAATGGACGTCCTCGGCCATTATTTCGAGCACAGGAGCCATCCCACCTCGCGCCAGTGCGCTGGTTTATCCATTACACCATGAATTCGCCAATTTGGGACTTACTGATTGCCTGAATCGAACCACCTACCTGACGTTTGTCTCGGAAGTCGTGCGGTCCCCTTTCGATACCATTGTAACACAGCAAAGTCGTAACCCGGAATGCTCACATTGGCATTTGCGTCGGTACAGTCTGGTGCCACCGCTTTCACCTGTACATGCACAGCATACATTGGTCCTCGGTCTAGCTACATGTGTCCGTGCATGTTCTTGGTGCTTAACTCTGGTAATAAAGTCGTGCATCACCATAAACCATAAATGCATTCATGAATTTTCCTGAGGACCGGTGGTACTGCTCAGCTGTCGGAGCTAAAGGACCGGCCAGTTGTTCTTCAAGCAGTCATGGACGTGCTAAAGGAAACAATAAGCTTATTGCCTTAATTAAGGCATGCCATGCAGAATCGACAAAAGGGTAGGTGTTTGTCATTGGTACAAAATCTTACATCACTGCATGCTCCTGCTTGGTTGTAAATTTTGCCGTTCACATACCCCTCTTTGTTTGCCTTGTTCGTTTTTTGGTACAGGCCAGAAGCACCAACAAATGGGCCTGCCGCCAGTCCCTCCACTCCAAATGGCCTACAATGCGGATGAACTTCTGAAGGAGGTGAAGGACGCCTCTGGCCACAACAAGACGACTGCTACAAAGACTGGCAAGGCTCGACAGGATACCACTGCTGGTGACAGGCTTTGTGTTCTTCAAGCTGGATGTAACGACGCAAATGCCAACCCTGAGCATTTCGGGTTACGCCTTTGCTGTGTTACAATGGTATCGAGAGGGGATCGCACGACTCCTTTAACAAACTGCGGTCGGTGGTTCGATTCTGGCAATCAGCATGTCGCAAATTGGCGATTTCACGGAGTAATGGATAAACCAGCGCACTGACGCGAGGTCGGATGCCTCCTATGTTCAAAATAATGGTCGAGTACGTCCTTTGCTAAGTGGGGGGCAATGTAATGACGCAAACGCCAATCTGAGCACGGGTTATGCCTCACGGGTTATGCCTTTGCTGTGTTACACTGGACCCCAAACTGGGTCTGGCATCAATGCCAACCAGGCTGAAGTGAACATGAATGCTGGTGAGAAGTTTACCTGCCTGTGATACCCAGGATACTAAAGAATTCATCTCACTCATAATGAAGGTGTTGATAAACACCGGGGGCTTTCCTTTGGGTTATATAGTCGCTTGCAGTCCCATACAGGTTACTTCCTGTGCTTTGGTGAAGTAGTGTCCTTTCATTACAGATACATTGTCCTGCTGTACCCTGCATCACCTCAACTACTGCTGCACAACGTGTTGCAGGTGGGCAGCTGGAGGTCAACACCGTTCAGGAGGGTGATGCCATAACTGATCAAGGACTGGATCATTCTGAATATCAGCCTAATTAGGCTGATATTCATGGGTACGTACATTTGTGCTGGTGTCCTAGGACCTGCAGCTGCTGGTTTGCATTTTTTGACTACTATATTTGGTGTTCCGTGACATGCTGCAGCTAATTAGCATTATAATGCTGGGGGGTGAAAAGTAAAGCCTCAGGATAAGTTGTGACAGGTAAATCTTACACATTATCCCATGCATAGGACACTATCATATGACGGTGTCCTATATATATGACATATAGGCAGTGTTTTTTTTAAGTAATATATTCCTTTTAAGGAATAAAGAGGCCATTTTGGCCTTTGGAAATAAGGAACAAATCGAGGCCATAGGCGCAAAAGGCAACGACTTGAACGCCGAACAAACACCAAAACAGCAAGATAAGCCTGAAATTTTTCCTGATAAAGGCGTTTGGGACGGCGGTGCTGTTGTCGGTAATGCATCGGCAATGGTGTTGCTGCCAGCGGCGACCGATGACACGGGCGCCATTACCCCTGCCTTCCATGGCGGTTTTGATCAGCATAAGCGCAAGCTGTCACCCAATCAGCTCGACAACAACGAATGCGGCGAGGCGCCCAACCCGAGCGCTCGCAGTGCCAAGCGGGCTCAGACACAGCGCATCTGCAAGGGCATGAGCGACGGTGCATGGCGGGACAAGCAGAAAGAAAATCCCCACAGATGGCAGATTACCTGGGCCGCCAGGTATCCCTGGGCCCAGCCTGTGCATGCTGACGTGGACGCCGGAGAAGTGCACGACCAAGTGCGCTGCATCCCCTGCACGTTGACTGAGGAAGTGGCTGGACAGCAGCAGCAGGGGCCGGTACATGATGAACCGGTAGAGTCCTAGTGTGCTGTGGTTTGCAGTGGTGGGTGACGGCCTTTGATTTGCTATGCGGTTGCTTGCTTTGGGCCTTTGCTTGGTCGGATTTACTTTTTGTTCACAAACAGTGCCAGAACTATCTATGCATGTGCATGAACATGAGTGCGCACATGAACGAAAACGCGCCAACGCAGTGCGTGCCTCTTGGTCTATGAGGGGAGTTGTAACTTATGGGGGGGG